CCGAATCCACTGCGCACCAGCCCCTTACGGATCCTCCTGCAGGTGGTGGGCCCACGGGAGGGTGGGCCCACGGGAGGATGTCTCCACGTTGCTCGTTCGGGCTAAGCCCGGCCAGGCCCCTTGAGGGGAGGCCCAGCCACCAGGCGCTCGCATTCGAGCCCCAACCCCGGGCCTGGCTCCAGGGTGGGGCCCCGGCTGCGCCATGCCGGGCGACGTCACGGTCCTTGATCGTAATCTATTCATAAAGGGCTGTGCAGCCTTGTTCAGATCTTTTCCGACAAAGCCTACTCTGGCCTTTCTGTTCCTGAGTGTTACCAGTGGTCTGCACCTTGAGGTAAATGCTCTGCATTTACATTCATGGAGACGCTTCCTGATCGCAGACTCTGGCAGTGCTACGCCTGTCTCCCCCAGACTGTTCTTGACTTGGATGTTGTGAAGGGGTTTTTCTTCACCAAGGTAGGTCAAGGTCAAAGGGCAAAGTATTTATTTGTCATATGCACAGTTAGGAAACGTGTTTCCCTGTACAGTGAAATTCTTACTTTGCCATCCACATGAATGCCACAAAATACAAATGAAATATAAAGTAGATAAATAAGTAACACAAATAAGAATTCTACGAACATCCACAGTTGTCTTCCATGGTCTTCCAGGCCGTTTGGTGCTGCTGAGCTCAGCAGTGCATTCCCTTTCAAGGAGAATGGATCAAATTGTTGATTTGACCACTCCTAAAGTTTCTGCTCTCGGTGATAGGTTTGTTTTGCTTTTTAAGCCTTACGATGGCCTCCTTCACTTGCATCGGTACCTCTTTAGACCACATGCTCCAGTGGACAGCTGCCAAATGCAAATTCAACACTTGGAATCAGCTCCAGACCTTTTCCCTCTTTTAAAGATTTTGAAAAGGTAATTCATGCTTTTATCAGTTTGAGGTTAGATTATTGTAATGCATTACATGTAGGAAATAATCAGTCGTCCCGTTGTTGTCTACACTTGGTCCAGAACGCTGCCGCTCGTCTCTTGACAAACGCACGTAACCACGATCATCAAACACCCATACTCGCTTCACTCCACTGGCTTCTGGCCCAATTTAAGGTGTTGCTTTTTGTTTTCAAAGTGCACCCCCCTAGATTATTGATTCGTTACATCCTTACCTTCCAGGAAGGTCTCTCAGGTCTCCCAAACAGTTATAACCCAGATCTCAGCTAAAGTTCAAGGTGATGGTGCATTTGCTATTAGTTGGTCCAAAGCTATGGAATCAGCTGCCATTAGAGATCAGAGCTGCCCCTTCTCTGGACACCTTTAAACCGTTACTGAAAACCCATCTCCTCTCACTAGGGGTCTTCTGGTTGGGATTTCTCACCTA